ACAAAATACATCTGTTGATCGGTAGTTATGGAACAAGTGAATGATCAACTTATACGTTATCATGTAGCAATTAACAACTGCTCGTCAATGCTTCACTATTTGCATACAATATGTCAATATATTTATATACATTATAATATATAAACACATTGTCATATATGTCGTTAATTTATGCCTTCAAAATACAAAATAAACACAACAGCAAACAGATGTTTACAAATGCTTTCGTTCTCTTTTTCGATCCCATCAAAAAGGTGACAGTCACATTTTGGACAGTTGCAATTAGTGTGATAGAGTGATATATTTGCTTATTTATTGATTGATTACATGTATATATGTATATATATGTGCCATATACTGATCAGGTTAATTGTAGTGTACTAATATGGGACATTTTTATTAAGGTTATTGCCTACTTTCTAATTTTCGTGACAGAAAATTTGTGAACTTAATGCATCTTCATTAAAACCTCTTAACGAAATATCCAAATGAATACCGTAGGGTTAATGTAACGCTTAACGCTTTCATTGATATAAATATAAAATTTGGTCACTGTCATGGTAGAGTATGACGCCATTGTGGATAAGATTTTATTCTGATAAATCACACAGTGTTCTTTGTACAGTAATATTAACTGATAATCACGTTTCGAGCACAAACTATTGATACTCATAATCATATCAAGTCACTCACTCACACAGCCTTTTTCCTTCATTTATATACATGAGTGTGCGTCGGTGGCATAGCGGTTAGGACGCTCGCCGACCATGCAAATGGTCCGGGGTTCGATCCCCGGCCACAGACGCACTCCTTTACCTCGCTAAGCCAGAGCTAAAAGCTGGTGAAGAGGAAAGGTTGGGCATGTGGCTAGCAACCCCATCCTGTAAAAATAAACACTGCTACAGAAACTTCAAGCTACTAGCTTGGAGCCCTATGTTCCACTGGGAACGTGAAGGAATAAAAAAAAATATACATGAGTGAAATTGATGATTAGACATTTGAATAAAAATCAATATAGGATAAGGTACATTCAGAAATAATAATATGAGTGTTATCAATCAAATACAATCAGATGGGAAATAAGATGAGTGTTTTTATGCTCAAAATAAATAAGTAACTTGTTAGAATGTTATGATGTACATGGATTGGATTGAAATAGAATTTTAAGATTATTTATTATCCTCCTCTGATTTGACTGACTGGTGGTAATAATATCTTCCATGCATATCTCTGGTATTTCCATTGAGTCATTTCTGTTGCATGTGTTGGGTGCAGACTCGATGAACCAGGATTCAGTAATCAATCTCTATCTCCACCTATCTATATATTTTCTTAGAATTTTGACTCTCTCTCACCCTATTGTGGGTTGTGTGTTAATGCATGCAGTGCAGTAGAGTGCCGAGCTTTTTTCTAAATTTTTTATCTTCTCGGAGTCAACCATTCTTACCCTAGGTAAATTCTTATATTCCGACAATCTGAATACCCTCGACCCACTAGTTGGACCTATGTAAATGACTCAACTCACAATCATAGCAAGGTTTTTTGTAAATTATATTATTTTGTTTAATTGGGTAAACGGGGCCCTTTAACCCACAGAGCTTGTCCCTGAGTGAGTTTGTAGGTTTGAATGCCACCATATTTCCTGCTTTATTGAGAATCCTGCTTATGGCCTCAGATGTCGCCTCCTTGAGAGGTATAAGAGTAGATGTCTCATTTTCCTTCTTATTAATGTTATCATTATTGGCTTCACCATTATTTTTGTTTTGCTTTTGACCTTTTTTGATTTTCCTAATGAATTTTATAGAATAATTATTCAACGCCGATACCTTTTCTATCTGTTTCATTTCATCGTTTATTCAAATGTCTAATCATCAATTTTCACTCATGTATATAAATGAAGCAAGAAAGTTGTGTGAGTTAGTGACTTGATATGATTATGAGCAGTGGTAGATTGTGCTCGAAACGTGGTCATCAGTTAATATTACTGTATGACAACACTGTGTGGTTTATCAAAATAAAATCGTATCTATAATGGAGCTTTACGCTTTTATGTGATATTTACGCTTATTATAATTACGATTGTTGGTGACAAAGATGAAACATGAATAAATAAATTACTGAAGCGTCATTTTCAGTCAAAAAGATTTAAAAATGAAGTGTACATGAAAGTTTCTATTTATATTAGAATTCTCTAAGGTTCCGAGTGAAATGTGGACTTTCAACAGAACTTCTGTACTTTGTTCTGTTCTCTGTCGTCCTGTTAAGCTGGCCACACGATTGCCCATTATCTCTCATCTCCTCGTTACACTCGAGTTCAAGCTCAGCTTGTCGTTTACTTTCCGGGTTAGACTTGAAAGCAGGACTGGGGCACAATGTCCCATCCATCTCAATTTTCTTCGGGATATTTGTTTAGCAGTTGGGTTCCTGATTTCTTGGTTCCCAAAGTTTCTTGTTTCTAATTCATTTCGACTGGCCATCTGATCTTCAGTGTCAAAACAGTAAGGAGTCTGGCAGTTATTGATAAGAGTCTGAATGTTGGAAATGCTTTTCGTAACGCGTTGGCTAAGTGTTTGATGTTGATAATATGAATTTTGTTCTTCATGCTGTAGAGTTCAGAAAACCTTCTATCCAATTTAAATAAAGTGAGAACTACAGTTTTTGCAGAATAATGTAGTACCATCATTTATTTCGTTGCCTTCTCGTCAGCTGCTTATAGATATCCTTCTCATGTTAACTCCAACTGTATATACAAATATACATGTATCCGCGGGAGCAGTCACATTGGAAAGACAGAAAGAAGGGCATATCTACGATTTTCTCAACATGTACCAAAAAGCTTGTGTCTAAAGGGAACAAATGCTTTAAACAGCACCATCGCCAGGCATCTCCTTGGCACGGGTCATGAGGTGGCCGTCACAAAATCGTTCCCAATTATCAATAGGCAAAAGAGTTGAATGCTCCTCAAGTTTGATGAAGCCATTTCAATCAAGCGCCTGAAACCTGATTTGTGCGTTCAGAAAGAAACAGTTATCAGTCTTTCTTTGCCCTGGTAACTGGATATTTTCACCCTCTCTTTTATCTGATTAGGTAATGTCAAAATGTTTCATTGTGTTTGATCATTATTGTTCGGGACAAAGTCTTTATTATTATATATTTCATTATTTTATGCATATATTGATTGATTTTTGTTTAAAATGAACTGTCTGTGTAAGTATGTTAAAATGTTTTCTGTAGATACACTTAACAATGACTTTGGCCTGCAAGCAGATGATGAGAAGGCAGCGAAATAAATGATAGTACCACTATATTTTGCAAAATCTCTTGTTCTCGCTTTACTCAAATTCATTAAGGGGAATAAATTTATGAAATGTCTGATTTTAGATTGATGAAGCTTGTAATTGGAGAACGATGCTGACTGATTAGATAAGTGAACTGACTCCTGCTTGTTGTTGTTGTTGCTGTTGTGGGTTAGTTGTCTTCAACGCCTAAGTCTTCTGTAAATATTTTCACCTGAAGTCCTGTCTTTGCTGCCTGCTGCTGCTGCCTACTTGTTCCTATCAAGTTGTTGGTATTTGTCTGTAAATCTTCCAGTTTTGTGTGACATTAAACACTAGGCTTTCTTTACATTTTGTAAAGATTTCACTTGCATTTTTACATGTTATAAAAATTAGAAATAATTAGTGAGTGATAGACGATTATATATTTCTGGGGAACATTTTAATAAATTAAGCAAAAACATATAAATTCTTATTGTTTCTTTTTTTATGCATTTTCATGATATGAAGAATAAGAAATCTTGTTGTATAATTAACTATCTCTCCAGCTATCTATCTATCTAGCTAGCTAACTCGCTCGCTCCCTCGCTCGCTGGCTGGCTAGCTAACTAACTAACTAACTAACGAACTAAGCATCTGAAGACCACACGCAGACAGAGAATGAATTTTTCTTTTTCCGTCGAAACTACGGTACCGAAGAAGCGTGTTACCAGAGCACAAAGAGCAGAACAGCAACAACAACCAAAAAAAACACCAAAACCAAACAGCAAACAGATTCATCTCTTGTTTCCTTCCTTCTACTGTTTTTAAGTTCTTGATCTCTTTTTCACATTGTATCTCTTGTTTCAAAACTTTACACTTTTGAAATTACTTTGCCTGACAGGTGGATAAGTGTGAATGCGTAATGAATCTACCTGTAGGATTACTTTACGTATAAATGTATATAGGGTGTTACATCATTAAGTTGTCTTCGCACACAAACACGCCCAACACGCACACACCGAGTCTCTGATAAATTTTCAACTCCGATATCTTGAAACATGATGGTGTAGGTTTTTTCGTTCAAAACAGTTTGTAGGTTATATAGTTGTAGGTGACACTAACAGACAATTTTAAAGTTTCATTAATGTGTGTGGTATGCTAAGCTCTGAAATGTGTGTAATTTCTGAATGCCTTAAAATAGATATATTTATATATGTATGGATGGATACATGTATTGATAGGGAGTAAGTATTCGGACAATGTGTGATTGGTTTGATTTCGATAGAAATTTGAAATCAGAATTAAATCTAAGTAATGTGTGCTGTTGTTACTGGTACTGTTGTACACGATATACTGTGCTATTAGTATGTGTTATGCATTTATACCATTGTATTGGTGTATTCAAATGATGTTAGACATGTATGCGTAAACACCAGTTTCAAGTACTGCACACAAGTACCCACACGCATATACACATATATATTATATATATATTCATGAAGACCCATAAAATACGGATCAAATTAAAATACACATGTTACCTACCATTGAAGGAAGATAAACGTGGTAACCGGATCGTATGATTATTATTGGTAAAGCAGATATCCGATCGGTGGTGGAACACCCACCATACGTGCATACATATACGTATCGGTATAAATGAATACGCGTGCACGGCATCTGACAACATTACTTACCCCTTTGCCTTGCTTGTATAAACATTTTTAGAAAATGCAGTAAAAGCTGCAAAACTGTTTCGTGTTGTTTCTGAGGCAAGACTAAATCACTTTAAAAACGCAAGCACGCACATACACCTGCACATAATTATTTATCAAACCTACATTTACATTCATTCAGGGTAACGCAGACGTCTAATTGAATGATTAAAACCACTAGTTAGTTTGTAATACATATATATATATATTTCTGATCCCATATTCATTCATTGTAAAAGATTATGAATTTATCAAGCGGAAATTTTACAAATTCTCTAGAGTCTTCATCTTCGATACCAAGTTCCCCAGAGTTGATGAATAATGGAATAACATCATCCACTACGGGTGGCAACAATCTTCCGATGAATTCTCCGTGTATTTCTCATGGAAGTTCTATGCTTAATGGAGATGTCATAAAGGCATCTCCTAATCATCATCATCATCATCACCAACATCATCCTTCTCAAAATCACCACAGCAGTCATCATCAGAATCAACATACTGAGGAGTCGAGATCGGCACTATCAGCATCATCATCAACGGGATCCTCATCTTCAATGTTACCTGGAGGATTATCAATGAATCATTTATCGAATCCATTATTTTTCCCTTTTCCACCAAACTTTCTACTACAAGAATCCTTTAATCTGATATATCATACATGTTTAAATATGTTTGAAAAACGTTTAACTGAAGAATTGGAACAATTTCATCAAAAGTATGAGGTGTTGATGAGAGAATGCAGTGAGACAAGATTTCGTTTGAATAAAGTTGAAAGTGTTTTACACTTATTTGAAGAAAAATTTCACCCGGCGAATTTTCCATTCTTTCTTTCTGGCTACTTTAATCCTGCTTCATTGAAATGTCAACCTCTTCAACGATATCAAGAACAACAACACCAGCAGCAACAACAACAACAACTCAATGAGATGAATGATACGAACTTGTTAAATTCACTGAAAAGTGTTGAATCTGCATGGTTGTATAGCTGGAAGGAATACGAGAGTTTGTCGAATTCATTTAATTCTGCGCATAGTAATGCCTCACCGAATAGTTTACTGACATCAATGTCAGCAACAGCAACAACAACATCGGCATCACAAGGTGATCAGCAACAACACAGTCAATTCGACCAACGTCAAAAGATACATTCATTGTCAAGTAAGCAACATAAAGAGAACAATTTGGAACAATTTTCGATTAATCGTCTATCGAACTCAGAAACACAATCATCAACACCACCACCACCGCCACCGACAACAACAACAACAAATGATGCTACAAATCTACAATTGAGCACATTGAATGAATCATTTGCTAGTCGGATTCATAATTCGTCTTGTAATTTAAATCCTGCATTATTGCCGTCATCGAATAATCGACAGTTTATGTGGAATCAATGGATGGCAAATTTTATGGCGGCTTCTAGCGGTTGTATGAATTCTACAAATGGATTATTATCAGCATCAGTGCCGTCATCATCATCATCATCATTGACAATGCCTTCAACATTGAATAACTCAGAGAGAATTAATAGTTTTAATGCATCAGACATTGAAGTCAATGAAGGAAATCAAGTGAGTCTGTTTAAGAAAATTGATTTTTATTTTTTAATTTTTTTGTTTGCTTTTTATTCGTAGATGAGTAGTGTTCAACTAATTTTTTTCATTTTCCAGAGCTGGTTTGTAGGTATTTGATTTTTTTTTTCAAGATTAACTGTGAGTTGATATCACTTAGAGAACCACTGACAACTAACAGGGAATACTGGACAGTTATCTCGTCCTAGTTCAAGATTCATTAGCAGTATGCACACACAACAACATCGAGGTTCTAACCCAGGACCTTCCGGTTACAAAGAAAGCTTTTAGACCCTTTAACCACTGGAAACCGATCCAGTGAACAGCCCATGAATTCTAACTTCTGCTAACGTGCGGTTTTAGCCTGACTAGCATCAGTCAAAGTCACTTCTTACGGCGTGGACTGTACTCATCACGACTTCTCCCTAGAACTCCAGTCAACTTCGGTTTATAACCAGTCAGATTAGTATTTGAAGAGTAAGTTTGTGGGGATTTCAGTTGTTTTAGCTTTGACCGTGGATTAACATCAGTCAGAGAACCACTGAAAGCCAGGGAGTACTGGACAGTTATTTAATTCCTTGTTTGGGACTCATTGGCAGTGTGCACCCATATATATATATATATAACCTTTGTCTGCCTATATTATTTTGCTTATTCATAGTACACAATAAATTATAAGGATATTAGAAGATTTATTTGAAGAATAAAATAAGAAATGGACAACTTATTCACCCTGCTGATTTATATTATTTGGTAATAAAATAAAGGAATTAAATAATCATATTAAATAATACTCCCTTCGGTTTTGAATGGAACACAGAACATCTCTGTTTCACCCTTCATGATTTCCCATAAGCTTACGTCCCCATTTCACTCTTGGTTGCACGTCCAACTCGTCATTTCTCATTCGAGTGCCAGTTTAGGGCCTGATGCCCTAATGGTTCTCATTGGCCCCCTCAGCATGCGTCCAATTCATTTGCATTTGTTCCAGAATATTGGTTGGTTTGTTCGCCGTATTCCTGGTTGCTAATCCTTTCTTGTAGACCATTTGATGCTCAGAATGGAGCCACTGAAGGCAGCTATTGATAAATGTTTGCAGCAGCATGTCCGGAGGGCGACTAGGACTGACATCAACAACAGAAACAACTAAACACATGACTAATCGGTGAATGTTACAAACTATCCTATCGAAGTGAAGTAAATGTGGCTTACTATTTTATTTTTTTCATTCCTTTACGTTTCCAGTGGAAAATAGGGCTGCAAGCTAGAAGCTTCAAGTTTCGGTAGAATTGGCATTTAATTTAACGGGATGCAGTTGCTAACATCATGCCCAACCTCCCTCCACTCTTTACCAGTCTTATTATTACTGGGGATCGAACCCCGAAACCACCTGGCGGGCAATCTACCGCTGTGCCACCGACGTGTGGCTTACTATACAATATGATAAAAAGGAATGGTTATGATATTTCTATTCCATAAAAATTACTAATGAGAAAAGCAGTCGACGTGCTTGGTGGAACGTTTTTCATGTTGTCAGTGAAAACGCTTTGAATTCTTGATTTTATTATCATTCTTTAAATAAAACCTGAATATGGTGGTGTAAACAATTCCATTTTATCGGTATACTTTTTTACGGCCTCAGAGTTTCTAGGATTTCGTCTCATTTTGAATTTGTGCATATATATATATATTGTGTTCAATTCTTCATTAAGGGTTCTGTCGTTGTGAATTAATTGAAATCTATTGTGACATTATTAACTAAAATAAAACCTGGCGATACAGAAATTTAGTGAAACTTGCAATTCATGAATTATTCAAATGTTACTTTAGCTTTTAGAATGGTGAGTTAAGTGAGTAGGTGATGTTAAGGATCGTGTAATGACTCAAATGGACTTGTTGTGTGCCAGATGCAGGAAACTCATTTTTAAGTCCTACTGTACGGCTGACCAAAACTTCATCGAGGGATTCACAGTCAAAGAAAGCTTCAAAGACAGCAAAAAGATGGTTATTAGTCGTCAGACTTGCGGTTCTTAACAGTGCTGTTAGGCAGCTATACAGACAAGTTAACTTTCTAAGCACAAAACAAGTACTGTAGAAAAAACTGGTTAACCGAAATTCAACTCTCAGAAGTACCTGAGAATCAAGCAGAATATTCACAGCAGGATAAGATCTAGACTTTATTAGGAGGAAGAATAGCACAATAAGAATTCCCTCAGACAGTTCAATGTTAGAATCACCGTGATTTACTTAAAAAATCGTAGAAAACACCTATCGGCACATTAGAGGGAAAAGAACAAGAAGTTCAGCAAAGATGGCGATCTTCTCGGAGATTTCATTCTGAAAAGCACCTGTTCAGTCGCATTTATATAGACTAGTTTACATGGATACAATTATTTTTTATTTAATGCCACACAATAACGAAGGAGATAATAGTTTTCAACTTGATATGAACGTTTGAAGGTACGAATACAGATTAAAAGAGGCTTAGAGACAAGATTGCATAGAATTAGAAAACAGTTATAACGTATGCAAAATTAATATTTGATAACTGGAGAAATAATTTTAAAGGCGAATAAAAAGTGATAATTATTTTCAACGTGATATGAATTACAAGAGGCTTACAAACAAAAGTTAAGCAGGGATAGAATGAATTACAGGTGTAAACAAAATGAGCATGGAAGCAAATTGAAATCAAAATGTTCAAATTGAAATGTAACTTAGGAGGTGTGACAATAGATTACAAGAGGCAAAGAAACAAAAAAATTCCACAGGATTAAAATATAATTGTTAAATGGTTATTCTAAACGGATTGCAAGTGTGATCAGGAGGAGCATGGTAACAAACTTAAAATAACTGAAAAAATAGGATGAATTGAATGAAGGTAAAGAGAGAAAATTACACACACAGATAACAAAACAAAAAACTGAAGGATAAGGGAACATACCGAACTAGGTCCATGGTAGTTGTAAAGGCTGGACTAGTTTCTTTTGAACACACAGCTCTGGCTTTTCGATGCATATGGCGAGAGCTTCTGCAGTACAAAGAAGTCAGAAGCTCACTGCCTTTGGTAGATTTTTGTTTACATTGTAAATGACTTTGAATGATGAGTCATTTGAGATTCTGCGACAGGTATTGACGAGGTGTTCATTTATGGCGCTTCTGATTGAACCGGTACCTCCTCTTTGCAACCATGCTAGATGATGATCTCTAACACGTTTTGATAAGACCCGCATACAACGACCTAGCTCCGCACGAGCAGGTGAACTGATATATGCCGTTGCTCCAAAGTAGCGTGTGGCTAGAGAATATCAATCTTAGAGTTGCTGCCGGAAAAGTCTTCTTCAGGAAATTGGAGATTCTCTTTTTAACGATATCTGCTGCCAGGTCTCACCTCAATTCCAGATTCAAACAACATATTTTCTTTGGCGCTGAAGTGTATTCTTCTCTTGTTGACTTTGGTTTCATGTTCTTCTATATGAAACGCGGTGGGTATCCATTTTGAACCAGGATGCTTTTGAGAAATAACAGCTGTTCTTCTAAACAGTCATCGTTGCAAATTCTTCTGGTAGGTTTCCAACTGTAGAAGCTTCTGAGTCACTTGTAATTCATATCAAGTTGAAAATAATTATCACCTTTTATTCGCCTTCAAAATTATTTCTCCAGTTATCAAATATTAATTTTGCATACGTTGTTACTGCTTTCTAATTCTATGCAATCTTGTCTCTAATCCCCTTGTAATCTGTATTCGTACCTTCAAACTTTCATATCAAGTTGAAAATTATAATCTCCTTCGTTATTGTGTGGCATTAAATAAATAATAATTGTATCCATGTAAACTAATGTATATAAATGCGATTGAGAATGAAATCGCGGAAAAGGTCGCCACCTTTGCTCAACTTCTTGTTCGTTTTACTCAAAAAAATTATATCGTAAAACAATAAATTGTCAGTGTACCGTACAAACACGAAGAGAAGCATTAAAATTAGAGATTAAACAAGAAGGCACAAAGACAAATAATAATAATTATAAGGATCAAGTCAATATGTTGTATGCAAATGTCAGACCAATGAAATACAGTCTAGGAGAAAGATGTGGTAATAATTACAAAGTTAGTTGAAACATCTAAATAAGTATAAAAATTGAATTTAGATCGTTCAAGACAAGTGATGTGCTTTTACATCTCACGTAATAGTGGGAAGAATCAGCGTAACGCTCCACATTTCAACAATCATTTTTGTAAAGTTTTAAAACCTTAGAAAAAGGAAATGAGCATGTTGGACTTGTATATTATATAAACTAGTAGAGATTTGCTTTATGCCTGAATACTATTCGTCTTTTTTAAAGTTAGGACTAAAAAGGAGTCCTTGTCTTGAATACTTTTCTCGGGCGGGGTTCATTGTCTGGCACAGATTTCATCAAAGCTCCTACTTTAATGTCATCCTTGAAAAACGCTTCAATAGAAGTAAAGAAAACTATATTCTGCTCAGGAAATATCTATAGAAGCCTAACCTATTTTTGGCACACGAAGGTTTTATAACTAAGTTCCTGTTTGAAACCATAACTCTCCATTAGCTAGGATTGATAACAGTTGAGCACCCTTTGAATTGTGATTACCATACTAGCCATTACAAGGTGTAAATTATTAATTAATACGGTGTTATACTCATGAGAGTTTGTGAAATAACGTTTCATATGTTCGAGTGTTTGACAGTATGTATAAAATTTCAGCTGGTTCAGTTTCCTCAGTGTGTCGCTTTAAACTAAATAAATAGAATTTGTACAATTTTTCAAGATATACAGGAATGTAAATGTGTTCTAATTCACTGTATTTTGTTCCCGTTCATATCTCATATATTTGGATCAATAAACAATTGTATTTATCAATAACTCACAGTGAACTTTGACCTCTGTTGGCATTATTCACGATAAGGCCAAATAATTAATTAACGGTAGAGCCATGATCAGGACATATGAAAGCAGTTTTTCTTTTCGACGCATGA